GTTACAATTTAACTCATTTTCTTAATTTTGCACATTATAATCATAATTCAAATGTTTATTTTGTCAACTAAAATTATATACCATTCAAATCATAGTAAAATGAACTTGAGATGATGAAATATTGACAGTTTAGAGAAAAAACATGTCAAAAAAATAAATGGCTGTATAAAAATGAAGCCTGGTGCTAATTGGACACTATAAAGCAGCTATATGCATTCACACACACCTTCTTGTTGAGTTTAAGCCAGGTGGTAAAGCCTTTGGTGTCCTGGTACTGCAGTCCAAAAAACCACACCTCCCTTAACCCAATGGTTTTCACCACCTATAAAACAGATTCATATTAAATAAACAGGCATATTAAATAAAATGCAATTTTGCACACCCATAGTACACGCATTCGCTTTCTGTCATAGAGGGATATGAAAAGGAGGCTCGGGCTCAAATTCCTCTTCATGGACATGGAAAAAGTGGAATTCCAGCTGGGACTGGACCATATATGTAATATTCACAACATATTTGTGCTAATTTAATAATAATTAAAATTAAACAAATACATTTAATAATTTTGATGCACTTTTTACGAAAGAGTGATTTCATAGACGTGATGTACAGAGTGACTAAGAGTGAGGAAGAGGGGACTGTACAGAAATGTACAGCCTGAGGAAGAAGCAGAGTCAGAAAGAGGAAGGGTGGAGGAAGGGAGAATTCCCTCACAAGAAGGATTTCCAGTTCTTAATCTAAACACACAGACACAGCTTGTCTGACATGCTCTTAAGTTTCCACTGCAAGTCAATATTTCTGCTCACACTGAATGTGATATATTCACAGCCAATCAGAAAACATTTAATGGACATTTATGAGGAGCAGGATGTTGAATCAAGATCTCAATGTGAGAAAAGTTCTTAAATTCTTTAAAAAAAAAAATAAATAAATCAGCAACAAGTTCACACACACACACACCTGGTCAAATAACTGTTTTCCTGTGGTGCTGGGTTGGATGGCAAACTCCAGCTCGGCATCCATCGTAGTCAAACGAACACTGATCTGGAAAAAAAAAATGTAATTGTGAATGAATGAATGACATTCGAAAGACAGACTGAAAAGCCAACAGATATATATTTGGGAAGATTTTTATTTATTTATTTTTTCAAAGAATGTAATACTTTTAGTCAGAAAGGATCCATTAAAATTGATCAAAAGTGACTGTAAAGACATCTATAATATTATAAAAGATTACCGTTTTCAGTGCTGTTCTTTTTTACTTTTCTTTCATTAAAGAAAAAAAATATTAAGCAGTAAAACCATTTTCAACTGTGATTACAATAAATGTTATACGAGCACCAAATCAGAATATTATAATGATTTCTGAAGGATCATTTGACACTGAAGTTTTCTGAAAATTCAGCTTTGCCATCACAGGTATAAATTACATTTTTAAATATATTCAAATAGAAAAGTTATTTTAAATGGTAATATTTCACAAAACGACTGTTTTTGCTCTATTTTTTATTTTTTGGTCAAATAAATGGGGCCTTTGTGAGCATAAGAGACTTCCTTTAAAATATTAAGAAATCTTACTAACCCCAAACTTTCATTTAGCAACAGTGTATGTATAATAATAATTAAAAAATTAATTCAATACATTCACACAAAAAGCAAGTTGATTTACCAGAAAATCAGAATCGTTCCATTCTCAATTAACATGAAAGCATGAGCAATGAAAATAATGAATTCTCTATTTGTGATGGACAGCTTAAAACATCTTTAATAGTGTATACTACCTAGAAAAAGCCTGAACCCTTATCAAAGAGCACACTATAAAAGAGGCATTACGTGTATGTGTGCGTTTAGATGAGTTTGAGTGTGCATGTTTGTGTGTGTGCTTAAATCTGCGCCAAAGCGTGGCTTGCTATTTTAACATGATTGATTGCACTCTGGAACTCTGGATAAGATAAAAACAATGCAAGGAAACAGCAAGAGGGACGAATGGAAAAAGATACCCCCCTCTCTTCTTTCTCTGTCTCTCTCACCTCATCCCCGCCTCCACCCCACAGCCACGCCTCCAGTAACCATGGAGACACATTAAGCAATGCGCCTCACTTCCTCTCACTATACAATTACACCTAATCAGAGCACACCTCCTTTTAATAACAGATCATTCAGAGTAATTATTCTCAGTACAGTGCAGTTTCTGACTAATTCACAATTACACAAAGTCGGTCAACTGTTACTCATTTTATATCATAAACTCGAAAACTAACCAGTGTTCAGTGAAAATGTCAATGATATATGGACGGTCTTATTGATGAGGTCCATATAAAGCTCTTCTACTGAACTAATGTCTTTTATCCAGCTTTGACCCTGTGTGCGAGAGATAAATAGCTCAATTTAGGCACACACATCTCCAGCTCAGCTGTACCCATAATGCCCTGCTTTATCTAGCAGCTGCCTGTGAGGCAGATGAGTGTCCATGTGCTGAGACTCTAAAGAGCTCAACATAGCATTTGCACATCAATGAAGCCAAACGACATTGTTTCTTGCGAGTCCTCTAAATGATCGACAAAGAGAAGCACAAATGAGATTCGATAGTTATGAGATTTGATATTCATCATGAGTCAAGAGGGCCATAGTGAGGTAGCAGGGTGATTGTAAGGGAATAAAGAAACAGAAAGAAGAAATATTTATAATTTGCACACATTCAGCCTTAATACTATACATAATAATAACCCAAAAAAGCTGTTAATGTCTTATCTAATCACTTTTAGTTATGAATTACATCATGTAAATGAAAGTCTATATTTAAAATTCAATTTGCCAAAAAAAGGTTTGCACTGGATATTACTGCCATGTGTTGTAAAACAGTTAGCCTAATATATTAAATATATCCACACACTCCCTCATATCTACACACTAGCTATTTACTTGAGCACATACCTCCTTGAAGCCATATTTTCCACACAACTTCATATTCAAATATCTTGATTTTCTCATATTCACACATTAAGCGGTCATCTATATTAAATGTCAGATGTTTCGATGCTTCTTAATGTTATAACAGACCATTAGATATTCAGCACAGAAAGTTATATTCAGATTGTTAATCAAAAGTAGGTTGTGAAATGCTGGATTGTGAAACTGTTTGAAACCCAGGTGTTTTATGTGTGCCTCCAAGGTTATATTATCAGAATATGCGTGTGTTGGTAACTATCAAGCACCCTAGCCTAGGAATGACTTTACTATGAGGTGATTCGTTTGATTTTAGCCTTACTGTGTATGTGCGTGTATGTGTGTGTGTGTGTGTGTGTGTGTGTGAGAGAGAGAGAGAGAAAATCCTAGCTCTGCTGTTTCACAGGCTTACATCAGCCAGTTGGAACAGAAAGAGAACAAGCAGAACTTTCCCAACAACTATATGACTTTTCTGCTCTTTTCTCTTCCACTCCTCTCTGGGTCTGGGAGAGTTCATTTCATATACACAAGCTCCGACATAACATCTCCCTCACTCAATCTCACTCTTTCTTTCTGTCAGTAATGACAGGTTTGTTTGTGTGTGTGTGTGTGTGTGTGTGTGTGTGTGGGGAACAGTATACTGGTCGGTTAATGGACCCTCTTAATCCAGAGGTGGATTCACAGGGTAAAAATAGCTCATGTCTTCATGAAACAGGAACTAAGAATTTGTAGTTCTCCCTGGTCAGGGTGTGTGTGTGAGATGGGTGTAGTCTTCACAGTGGACCCGCCAGAGGTTCTCTGCCACTATTCTTAGAACAATCACCCTGCCTTTACTCAGACGCCCTCACAGACACACACACACACACGCACACACACAGAGACAATGATACTCACACAATTACACAGAACCAGCAAAGAATAGGCTATACATAGTATCTGCAGTTTCAAACAATTCAATAAAATTAACATATTAGCTCGGTTTCAAAATGTAGCTCTGTGACAATCTAAGATGGTTGATGATATGACAGGAATGTAGATTCTATAGGGGAATTGACTATGAATGATGACTTTTAACCCATTAAAGTCAGACCTCCTGTGAGGTTGTTTATCAATGGTATATGCTTTCGTTGTAGCCATCAGCCTGCATTATTTTTTTTTTAATAATCATGTTTAACAGTGGAATTCCTTGTGAAAACTACACTACCCATGATTCTGCAGAGAAATCTCCACCAGTCAGAGAATCACAACAAGTAACTCACATTGTGATTTGTATGCATACTATACCTATTTTGCAATAAACATAAAATATATAATTTCATTACATAATCAACATCTTTAAATCAACTGTTTTATATGTATCTATCATTTTCATTTTGGGTATGTAGTTTGCAATGTTTTGGGATTGTAGTTCTTTCCCGTCATTAAAGCCGTTCAGTACACAGTCTTGTATCTTTGACTTTTAGTCCGAATTTCAAATACTTTGCTTCAAATCAAAGTATATAATGTTGTGATTCATCTTGTATAGCTGGCTGGTTTGGTTCATGGCTTATAGCTGTTACACAAATACTTTTTTTTTTAAATCCCTATGGGAAAAATACTTCCAGAACAAAGACAACTAAAAATGTGGGTGGGAACTGTTGCTCTCTATTGAGCAATGCAATTTCTGTGACTTGCAGAGTTGTTGCTATTACTAACGTGGAGTCTTTCAAAATGTCATGCTTCAATTCATTTAGGATGCTGTCTTAGAAGGTATCTGCCTATGCAGTAGACAGCGAGGCCTGCTCAATAGGCTTTGGATCAGTGTGTGAAGTTAGTTTGGCATAGGCAAAAATGCTAATTGTGAGCAATGACAGAGCCAAGATTTGGCAAACAATGCCTCGTATTTCTTCAACTAAAATTATATACCATTCAAATCATAGTAAAATGAACTTGAGATGATGAGATATTGACAGTTTAGAGAAAAAACATGTCAAAAAAATAAATGGCTGTATAAAAATGAAGCCTGGTGCTAATTGGACACTATAAAGCAGCTATATGCATTCACACACACCTTCTTGTTGAGTTTAAGCCAGGTGGTAAAGCCTTTGGTGTCCTGGTACTGCAGTCCAAAAAACCACACCTCCCTTAACCCAATGGTTTTCACCACCTATAAAACAGATTCATATTAAATAAACAGGCATATTAAATAAAATGCAATTTTGCACACCCATAGTACACGCATTCGCTTTCTGTCATAGAGGGATATGAAAAGGAGACTCGGGCTCAAATTCCTCTTCATGGACATGGAAAAAGTGGAATTCCAGCTGGGACTGGACCATATATGTAATATTCACAACATATTTGTGCTAATTTAATAATAATTAAAATTAAACAAATACATTTAATTATTTTGATGCACTTTTTACGAAAGAGTGATTTCATAGACGTGATGTACAGAGTGACTAAGAGTGAGGAAGAGGGGACTGTACAGAAATGTACAGCCTGAGGAAGAAGCAGAGTCAGAAAGAGGAAGGGTGGAGGAAGGGAGAATTCCCTCACAAGAAGGATTTCCAGTTCTTAATCTAAACACACAGACACAGCTTGTCTGACATGCTCTTAAGTTTCCACTGCAAGTCAATATTTCTGCTCACACTGAATGTGATATATTCACAGCCAATCAGAAAACATTTAATGGACATTTATGAGGAGCAGGATGTTGAATCAAGATCTCAATGTGAGAAAAGTTCTTAAATTCTTTAAAAAAAAAAATAAATAAATCAGCAACAAGTTCACACACACACACACCTGGTCAAATAACTGTTTTCCTGTGGTGCTGGGTTGGATGGCAAACTCCAGCTCGGCATCCATCGTAGTCAAACGAACACTGATCTGGAAAAAAAAAATGTAATTGTGAATGAATGAATGACATTCGAAAGACAGACTGAAAAGCCAACAGATATATATTTGGGAAGATTTTTATTTATTTATTTTTTCAAAGAATGTAATACTTTTAGTCAGAAAGGATCCATTAAAATTGATCAAAAGTGACTGTAAAGACATCTATAATATTATAAAAGATTACCGTTTTCAGTGCTGTTCTTTTTTACTTTTCTTTCATTAAAGAAAAAAAATATTAAGCAGTAAAACCATTTTCAACTGTGATTACAATAAATGTTATACGAGCACCAAATCAGAATATTATAATGATTTCTGAAGGATCATTTGACACTGAAGTTTTCTGAAAATTCAGCTTTGCCATCACAGGTATAAATTACATTTTTAAATATATTCAAATAGAAAAGTTATTTTAAATGGTAATATTTCACAAAACGACTGTTTTTGCTCTATTTTTTATTTTTTGGTCAAATAAATGGGGCCTTTGTGAGCATAAGAGACTTCCTTTAAAATATTAAGAAATCTTACTAACCCCAAACTTTCATTTAGCAACAGTGTATGTATAATAATAATTAAAAAATTAATTCAATACATTCACACAAAAAGCAAGTTGATTTACCAGAAAATCAGAATCGTTCCATTCTCAATTAACATGAAAGCATGAGCAATGAAAATAATGAATTCTCTATTTGTGATGGACAGCTTAAAACATCTTTAATAGTGTATACTACCTAGAAAAAGCCTGAACCCTTATCAAAGAGCACACTATAAAAGAGGCATTACGTGTATGTGTGCGTTTAGATGAGTTTGAGTGTGCATGTTTGTGTGTGTGCTTAAATCTGCGCCAAAGCGTGGCTTGCTATTTTAACATGATTGATTGCACTCTGGAACTCTGGATAAGATAAAAACAATGCAAGGAAACAGCAAGAGGGACGAATGGAAAAAGATACCCCCCTCTCTTCTTTCTCTGTCTCTCTCACCTCATCCCCGCCTCCACCCCACAGCCACGCCTCCAGTAACCATGGAGACACATTAAGCAATGCGCCTCACTTCCTCTCACTATACAATTACACCTAATCAGAGCACACCTCCTTTTAATAACAGATCATTCAGAGTAATTATTCTCAGTACAGTGCAGTTTCTGACTAATTCACAATTACACAAAGTCGGTCAACTGTTACTCATTTTATATCATAAACTCGAAAACTAACCAGTGTTCAGTGAAAATGTCAATGATATATGGACGGTCTTATTGATGAGGTCCATATAAAGCTCTTCTACTGAACTAATGTCTTTTATCCAGCTTTGACCCTGTGTGCGAGAGATAAATAGCTCAATTTAGGCACACACATCTCCAGCTCAGCTGTACCCATAATGCCCTGCTTTATCTAGCAGCTGCCTGTGAGGCAGATGAGTGTCCATGTGCTGAGACTCTAAAGAGCTCAACATAGCATTTGCACATCAATGAAGCCAAACGACATTGTTTCTTGCGAGTCCTCTAAATGATCGACAAAGAGAAGCACAAATGAGATTCGATAGTTATGAGATTTGATATTCATCATGAGTCAAGAGGGCCATAGTGAGGTAGCAGGGTGATTGTAAGGGAATAAAGAAACAGAAAGAAGAAATATTTATAATTTGCACACATTCAGCCTTAATACTATACATAATAATAACCCAAAAAAGCTGTTAATGTCTTATCTAATCACTTTTAGTTATGAATTACATCATGTAAATGAAAGTCTATATTTAAAATTCAATTTGCCAAAAAAAGGTTTGCACTGGATATTACTGCCATGTGTTGTAAAACAGTTAGCCTAATATATTAAATATATCCACACACTCCCTCATATCTACACACTAGCTATTTACTTGAGCACATACCTCCTTGAAGCCATATTTTCCACACAACTTCATATTCAAATATCTTGATTTTCTCATATTCACACATTAAGCGGTCATCTATATTAAATGTCAGATGTTTCGATGCTTCTTAATGTTATAACAGACCATTAGATATTCAGCACAGAAAGTTATATTCAGATTGTTAATCAAAAGTAGGTTGTGAAATGCTGGATTGTGAAACTGTTTGAAACCCAGGTGTTTTATGTGTGCCTCCAAGGTTATATTATCAGAATATGCGTGTGTTGGTAACTATCAAGCACCCTAGCCTAGGAATGACTTTACTATGAGGTGATTCGTTTGATTTTAGCCTTACTGTGTATGTGCGTGTGTGTGTGTGTGTGTGTGTGTGTGTGTGAGAGAGAGAGAGAGAAAATCCTAGCTCTGCTGTTTCACAGGCTTACATCAGCCAGTTGGAACAGAAAGAGAACAAGCAGAACTTTCCCAACAACTATATGACTTTTCTGCTCTTTTCTCTTCCACTCCTCTCTGGGTCTGGGAGAGTTCATTTCATATACACAAGCTCCGACATAACATCTCCCTCACTCAATCTCACTCTTTCTTTCTGTCAGTAATGACAGGTTTGTTTGTGTGTGTGTGTGTGTGTGTGTGTGTGTGTGGGGAACAGTATACTGGTCGGTTAATGGACCCTCTTAATCCAGAGGTGGATTCACAGGGTAAAAATAGCTCATGTCTTCATGAAACAGGAACTAAGAATTTGTAGTTCTCCCTGGTCAGGGTGTGTGTGTGAGATGGGTGTAGTCTTCACAGTGGACCCGCCAGAGGTTCTCTGCCACTATTCTTAGAACAATCACCCTGCCTTTACTCAGACGCCCTCACAGACACACACACACACACGCACACACACAGAGACAATGATACTCACACAATTACACAGAACCAGCAAAGAATAGGCTATACATAGTATCTGCAGTTTCAAACAATTCAATAAAATTAACATATTAGCTCGGTTTCAAAATGTAGCTCTGTGACAATCTAAGATGGTTGATGATATGACAGGAATGTAGATTCTATAGGGGAATTGACTATGAATGATGACTTTTAACCCATTAAAGTCAGACCTCCTGTGAGGTTGTTTATCAATGGTATATGCTTTCGTTGTAGCCATCAGCCTGCATTATTTTTTTTTTAATAATCATGTTTAACAGTGGAATTCCTTGTGAAAACTACACTACCCATGATTCTGCAGAGAAATCTCCACCAGTCAGAGAATCACAACAAGTAACTCACATTGTGATTTGTATGCATACTATACCTATTTTGCAATAAACATAAAATATATAATTTCATTACATAATCAACATCTTTAAATCAACTGTTTTATATGCATCTATCATTTTCATTTTGGGTATGTAGTTTGCAATGTTTCGGGATTGTAGTTCTTTCCCGTCATTAAAGCCGTTCAGTACACAGT